AAGTGCCTATAGAAAGTCTACACACTCTTTCCAGAGTAACACATTATATGGCTAAACAGCCTACAATTAAGACACATTAAATCCTAAAGGTGAAAACATATTTAAACATTGTAACACACAATCTCCAAGTGAAAAACAAATGTTCAAAAATTCTGAAAATGAATTACAAATTAAAATGTAGAGAAATTGGTTGGATAATTGTTTACAGAGTTATGTACTGGAAGCACATTTTGCATGATTTGCAGCCATACTTCTGTTTGGAGAGGTCTACAGTAATGTAGCATACTGTTCAAGCTCTGTCAGACTGCAGGGGAACCGTTGATAGACTGCAAACTTCAGGTCATTCCACAGAATTTCAGTTGGATTGAGGTCAGGGCTCTGACTGGGCCACTCAAGGATTGTTACCTTTCTGTTCCACTGTTGCTTTGGCTGTGTGCTTGGGGTTATTGTCACGTTCCCAATTTAAACTTCTTTACAGAGGGCAGCCGGATTTCTTCAAGAAACCACCTATATATTTGGCTCTATTTGGTTCCCTTCAGTCCTGACCAGTGGCCCAGTCCCTGCTGTAGAGAAACACCCCCATAACAGAATGTTGGCTCCACCAAGCTTTAAAATAGGGATGGCGTTCTATGGGTGATGTGCTATATCAGGTTTTCATCAGACCACAAAACATTTTCCACATGGCTTCCGAATATCCACAGTGTGTTTTGCATACCTTAACCGAGACTCAATGTGGACTTAATGAGTAAGTGGCGTTCTTCTTGCCACCTCTCTGGTCTTATGGTGATCTTGGGAGATTGTTCTGAAATGTACACACTGATTTGACAAAAAGGCCTGCAAGTTCTTTAAAGTTGCCATTGGATTCTTGGTGGCCTTTCTGATCAGTCTCTTGCTCGTTCATAAATTTTGGAGGCATGATCTGATCTAGATCTCTTTACTTTGAGATGGAATGCCCAGCCAAGGAGTTCTACAAGAACAGCTGATTTTACTCTGAAATCATCAGAATAACTGCAGCTGAACAGAGGATGTACATGCATCCAACCCATTTTTCCAGGTTTTCATTTGTAATTACTTTTCTGAATGTTTGTACATTTGTCACTTGGAGGTTGTGTATTACAATGTGTAAGTAAAGGTGAAAAAATTAATTGAATGTTTCTTGATTTGACCACATAATGTGTTACTTTGGAAAGGGTGTGTAGACTTTCTGTAGGCACTGCAAGTCTTTCCATGATGGTTCTACATTGAAAAGTCCAATCAATTGCTATGTGACCACAGCTGAAGGACGACTGTAAACTAATGAAACTCAGACGGGGTGTGTCTATAAGAGCAAGCAAGAGTATTCATACTTATCGAGCCAGGATGTCAGTCATGGGTTAGATTAAGGATGGAGAAGATATAAGATTAGGTCTTCCATTTAATATGCAATAAAATAAGCAGCAGACCTGGCACAGCAGTGTGAGTAAAGGCCAGTGTCTATGGATTAATGTGTCTGCCTAACTAATGCTGAGACATGAGTGGCTGGGCCAAAGTACTGAGAGAGGGGAAATGAGTAACAGTTCTAGAGGAAATTGGGAGTCTAGAAAAACCTATCAAGTTTAAAGGGGCAGCCTGTTTTGTAGGGAGAGAATAGTGAGTCTTGTAGTAAGTGAAGTCTTTGGTGTGCGAGTTCAATGTGAGTTAGTGTGTCTATCAGAGAAGAGGTGTATTAGAGGGCCCTCCCCTTGGCAATACAAGGAATAAGGTGGAGAAAAGGGTCTATCTGGCTGCTGAAATCTGGTCATAGGCATGGGGTGGTGACAGTGTGAGCTATGTGAGAAGACTGTGAGGTCTTGGCAGGGGGAATATGTGCCAGAAACTGTTTCTGTGAATTTTAGTGTAAAGACAGCATGCAAGAGAGTTCTGCCAGAAGCTTATGTGAAGCATTGTGTGAATGGTAATCCAGAGAGCAGGAGTGTGGTGGAGGGGCCCTCACGTGGTCAACACCAGGTATCAGGCGGGAAGAAGGATCTATCTGGCTGCAGGTCTCGGGCAAAGTGGTAATTGTGAATTAAAGGAAGTGGTGGCTGGGCATGAGCAAGGTGTGCCTGAGACGTGAGAATGAAGAGTGGGGAGGCTCAGAGAATGGTGTGTGATGTTGAGGAGCGGCATACTGTGGGAGAGATGCATGTGACATTGTGGAGTAGGAGGCTTCATGTATGAGGTAGCAGAGTAGCAGCCGCGGTTGTGGCCTGCTGGTGTACGGGATAGAACCAGAAGAAGGTGAGATTTGTTGAACCCGGGTAACAACAAGCAAAGGGCTCAGCGTTGTGAATTGACCTCGGGGTCATCTCAAAGGATGTCTTGAAAGAACTGAGATGTGTAGGTGAGCCAAGAACTCAGAACATAGTGTGAATATGCCTTGTGTCCTGGTTGTCCTGACAACAGCACTTCTTTCAGAAGAGGGTGCGTATAAGCTGGGGAAAAAGAGAGTTGACAGGTGTGTCAGGCACTGTTGTCCCTCGGCAATCAAACATTGTAAACTCTTGCAGTTCAGTTTTTCAGTTGCAGTATCTGTAGTTGTGAATGTTGATTTTATTTGATAGAAATTTGTTTTTAAAATACTTTGCTAGAAAAGACTATGCTGAGACTTTTTTGTTTTATGAATTAGAATTACAGTGTGATATTTGCTTGTTCAGACTGCTGTTTTAATTAAGTGTATATTTGTGATAATGTATCATCTCCAATCTTTAGCTGTTTTCTTCTTATTTTGATTTAATGTTTCTTTTTCCAAAAGAAAAGGCACTATATTAAATTAAGGTTTAGTAAAATAATTGTCAAGGGGTGATGGTCACTTTGTTTTTCTGATTGTGATTGAAGTACTAATTTTTCTTGGTAAAAAATGGTAAATATATTTTTATGTGTTAGTTTGTAAGTATATTTTATAAGTAAATGTTCATATTCAGCTTTTTTCCTCCATCTCACTGCCAGGAAAACAAAGAATCCTCATCCTCTGCTTGCTTGCTTGCTTTTCATTTCTAATAATAGGGGGCAAGTTATCTGATATTTTAAATTGATAACAGAGGATTATTTTGCCTTTGGGGCCCCCCTGCACCTTCCACATTTTATCCAGTCTGGGGATCCCACCGAGTATGAGGTGTGGAATACTGATTGCATTGAGGTTTTATTTTGTGACAGCCAGGGGGAAGGGAGTTTGTCCGTCCCATAGCAGAGATGGAATAAAAATCACCCAGATGAAAGGCCTGCACACAATAATCTGATCTCATCTACTTCAAGTGCAATTCTATTTTTTACTGAACTGTCTTGATACTGGGCTGAGATGTTGGGTTAAGTGTTGTGGTATTCTTCTGACAAATAACCTGTGACCTGCAATTTGTAGAGAGAAGATATTTCTTCATTTTCACAATTTGTAGCTCTAAACTTTCTGCGGTATTTTATACCTTAGAGCTGTGAGGGACACAGCTGTATATTTCAGTTTCACATGATTTTATTTGAGGTACTAATTATAGAAGAATACAAAGCCCATCTGTGCTGAGATAGATGAAATAAAGTTTATAGGTTTATACAGAACCTATGGTCGTACAACATAGGCAACATGATGACTGGTGTAAATGTTGAACAAGTTAGCATCTCTTGGTGACTTAGATGATGACCAGTTCCTAATAAGGAACGCTGACTATACTTATAGAATTGTAATGCTTCTGTTTTGATTATAGATTTTATTATTTTTTAATGAAATAACTTGTTTTTGATTTATTTAATAAAGTATTTGGAATGAGCTCTGTGTACTGGTAGGTACCCTGCTCTCTACCATATACAGTGGATGAGGAATATTCATGCTTTCCTCTAGACTTATGTCCTTGTCGCAGCTGTCTTTGTTTTGTAACCTCGGTCTTACTCCCTATACTGGAGAATTAGCATTGTTAGAAGGGGAAACATGGCTGTAATTGGAGATCCTAGTTACGGTATACAGTAGCCCAGACTTGATCTAAATTATTGTGTCTGATCCGTGCTTTGAATGAACATTTTTACTGGTTGAGCCACTCTAAAGCTCTTGAGTAAATGAGTCATTTAAACATTTCAAATGGCTGCGTTGGAATTCTAAAAGTGTTTCCTAACCTGTTAACAGATTCAGCTAACAGCTGTCTTGTCATTACCAGAAAACATTGTTTTTCTATTTGTGATAGTTTTATACAGATCCCAATAATTATTGCTACAATAATGTATGTAAACAGTCGTTTTTCATATTTCACACCTGCTTGTTCTGTATAATTAATTCACCTTCATTTGACCAATGATTTAAAAAATATTTTTCAGAAAATCACAGGTTTACAGTAAGGCCTTATACCTGAATATGACAAGAAATCAAAGCTAGTATCTAGTACTTACATTTTATTTAATATATTTTTACTTTAAATAAAACATTTGAATTTATTATTAAATATATTGCATTTATTACAGTTAATGAATTATGATTATTTTATCTGTTACCTTGTGATTTGTGTTTGATGCTCTTCAATACAAAAATGATTGATTTGTATTTGTAAATATTTCTGTAATGTTTTCATGATGAAAGGTTTGATGGCAAATATTGCTTAATTCATTTGAGTGCTTTTATAACCCTGTTCTTCTACAAAGTTTGGTTTTTGAGGATGAAAAGAAAATTCATGGAATTGTTATTAAATACAAAAACTTATTCTGGAATTAATGGAGTGAGAATTAGCATTCCAATTGTAAAAGACAAGAAAGAATGCATTTGCATAGCATGAGATGATCAAAAATCTAGTTTACTCTCTTGATTTTCTGGAATATCAAAGAAAATTGAAGAAAACAGAACTTTGTAGTATTAATGAGAAAGGTGGCTATTTTTTCCATGCTGTTTCAATCAAAATATATTTATTTTAAGAAAAAACATTTTTGCAAATATTTGGATAAGAATTTAATAGTGGCTATTCGGGTCTTGTTGTGTGCGATATGGAACCTAATGAAGTCCATCTTTTCAGATTCTTCCCGCAAAACTGGAGAAACCACCAAGCCCATCTATGGCTGTCAAGTTACAATCCAGTCTGAACAAGAAAAGCAGCTGATGAAACAATGCCGTCGTGAAGAGAAACGGATCGCTAAGAGAGAAAAACGAGGAGAGGATCCCGAATCTTCAGGCATACTGCTGCACTTTGACCCTAAGGAGCTCAGGTTACAAAGGTAATATTATAATCTGTGCTGTTACTTTACTCAGTTTATAATTCATTATCAAGTGCTGCACTGTCTTACATATTATATGTCAATACATTGTCAAGTTAAAGTTAATAAAATTAAAAAGGAGATGCCTATTCGACTTCAAGTCACGTTGTGTTTTGAGAACAGGATTTTCTCTGAAAGTTTAATTTAGCAGGATAAAAAAAAGGCAGTGATCTGTTTAATTAGAATTTACTTGGCCAAATCCATCTGGGGTACAGATGCAGATTAGTAAAGGTAAGCCACATTCTTGGGGAATTGTGTGAAAACCTTTGGCCAAAGATTTATGAACTCTATTCCCATTAATTTATAGCCACTATCCTCTTTTGCCCATGAGATTAATAGATTCTGTTATTCCCTTCTTGCATTGCCAACTGTTCTACACCAGTGAAAAGACTGTATTGTTGTGTGTATCGAATAAAAATTCACAATTACAAATTACTCTGTGCCTCTTAGGAATAAACATAATAATGACACACAAGAAAGAACATCCCCTATACCTGAAGTGGTGATTTATTCCTATAAATTATTCAGCAAAAATGATTTACTCAGTGATTATTTCTTCCAGCACCTTTGATCTGAAAATTTCAACTGTGACATGTTAACACATGCGAGTATGGTCTTTTTATAGATACTGTATCCACAATAAATGTAATTTTAAACATGTACATAATGTGGTTGTTTCTGCAACTGCAAATAATATGAAAGTGAAGGAGTCTATCACCAACATTGAGATTGCAGGACTCCATATCCCATGTTTAAGGCGTGGTTTGGCTTCTGTGCATAACAAAAAAAATGTATGTAGGAGGTCTTATTAATTCAGAGATTTAAACATAAATCATTAATTTATTTTTTCTATAACGTTCTGTGTATAGTTTTCAAAATATATTTTTATTCTGTTGTTATAATTCCTACTTGGTAAACCCATTTAGTCCTTTTACGACAACTTCCAATAATGTTTTAGATTAATTGTTGCTAGAGTAGTAAAGTAGTAAAGGTTCAGTCTGCCTTATCAACAACTGCTTTGTTCATTTCACAATAAAGAACAGCCTCCCTACTTTAATGAGCAGTTTTGGAAAGTCTCTTAACAGTGTGACAACATGGCTTGAAACGTAGAGATACTACTAAAGTAATTACTGCAGGACTTCTGTGGAGGTTTTTCCTGTTCTTTATTCGTTTTGATTTTACAGGGAGCAAGCTCTGCTTACTGCTCGGAAGTCTCCAGTTTGGGGCAGACAGAGGGAGTATGAGAGAATTCATTATCCACATGTCTATGATTCCTATGCCGAAGCCACAAAAACATCTGCATTTGTTGGTGGTGCAAAGGTGTGTTGTGACTGTATAACCTTTTTTTTTTACCTGTATGTCATTTATTGTAAATGAGATTAAGTAATTCTTTTCCCCTGGGCTTAGCTTTGGCAGAATTTATTTAATATATTTTGCTGAATCCATTTTTGCTTGGCAGCTGGAGCGGGCCGTGTGCTACTGGTTAGATGGCTTGCTTCTTGCTATTTCCCTGAGGTGCTGTTAAGAAGTAGCTGCTGACATATTTAAAAGTCTTTATAGCTTAGGAATTCTATTAGTGAACAAGCTGGCTTTAACCTGCTCTTTTCTGTCTGTAATTGTGTATTATTTTGTTAGACACTGTATCTTTAGTTTTTTGGAACAGGGGTGATGTGAAAAAGAACCCTTCTCCCCTTTGAAAGCCTGCAATTTAAAAAGGAAAAAAAATGTTTTAATTAAATCTGAATTTAACGTAACATAATCTTTCTTTGTTATTTTGTAAAATTACTGAGTTCTACCGTGTAAAGCTAAATGCTTTAAAGAATAAGTTTTTTTTTCTTATTTGTACAGCTGTAGGAATTTTTTTCTTAAGGGAATGTGTGTTTTTTGCTTCCTTTTCTGTGGGTAGCAGACTTTACTTTTTAAGAAATCCAGTTAATTAAACCATTTTCTGCCAGAGTTGAAATACCAAGTACAAATAATGAGCCCTTAGGTGTGAGCCTGAAGTGACTGATCTGCCTCTGACCTCTTCAGGCACTCTCTCAGCAGAGGTCACAGGGTCATGATGAGACAAGTCCATCCCAGTCTGTTTCTTTCTGCAAGTCTCTATAGAGCACATTTTTTAATTAAAAGATGCTGTGTGTGGGCATTGAGAAATAAGTGAAACATATTTGTGTTTTGTTCTTGACTTTTTTCTTTTTTGCAATTTTGCAAACCTGTATGTTCAGGTTTTTTATTGTTTTGTTCAGTCTATATAACGTAATACCAAAGACCACATGAATGATATTATTGAATAAAATGGAACAGGTTTGTTTCATGCTGAAGAGAAAAGTAACTAGAGACAACGTTTTGGCTGTGGAGTTTTCTTCAGTAAACCTTGATTAAAATGTTTGCTTTGAATGTTTGTCTTTATAAATGTCTTATGAATTGAAAGAATTTCAACATGATCACCCAACCAAGCAATTCATTAAATTAAGTAATTTAGTGATCACTAAATCAGAAGGAATCAGAATCTTGAATACTGTTCAGCTCTCAAGGACCAGACGTTTCTTAATTGAACAGAATACTTGTTCAAATCATCATTACTTTTAAGGTGTTGACAGTCATTAGAAGCAGGTGGCCCACTGTCAAGCTATTAAGGACTAGAGTTGGAGAGCCCTGATCAAGATCATGAAACATTCTGATTCTAAAAATTCTGTAATGATGTGTCAGAGTTGCAAAATGCAAGTAAAAACTTTTGATCACATTAAAAGGAATCTTTCTGAAAACATATATGGAATTAAATATTTTTAAGTATTTTTATTTTTAACCTTTTTTGACTTTATATTGAAGTTTATTTATTTTTTTGCATAGATGCTTCTACCTGAAGGGATTAAGAGGGAGAACAACAAAATGTATGAAGAAGTTGTCATTCCACCAAATGAGCCCATGCCAATTGGCTTTGAGGAGAAACCAGTTTACATCACTGATTTGGATGAGGTGGGTTTTAAATTAAGTCCGGATTTGAAAGAACAACTCACTAAAGAAATCAAGAAAGTAAAATGTAAAATCATTTGACCATGTTGTTTTACTAGCAGGAATCAGGAATATTATGTTATTAGTTTGTCTGTACACAAAAGCACTTGCAGATGCCAAAAGTGAATATTTTATTCCATTGTTTTGCAACAATTTTTTCAATCATTCAGACTTGTTTAGCTAAGAAAACAGATTTATAAAATGTCAGGAATACATTTAAGCCTTCTGGATATCGCACCCTGATGCTTTGACATCAAGAGAAGAAAGTATTACATTGAAAAGCATTTTCCTTATTTAAATATAAAAAAGTGTTGCTTAAAATCAAAAAGACAATGCTGGATCATAATGGAATTCTAGGCAGAAGTGTGTGCAAATCCCATCTGGGATTGCTGCTGTATTCTTGTGCAATCAGATCTGAAATAATATGACTATAATAATCTGTTAGACGTTAGGTTGAATCATCTAACTGAAATAAACGCTCATATTAGAGATTGCCTGTGCCACTTGCTTTCACAGGCTGGGAATCCTCAGGTGTGTAACACAATTGGCTAAGTCCTTCCGACTTCTGTAGAACTTTTATAAGTTGAAAGACCCGTGAGTGGCTGCCCAGCAGTGACATTGGTCTCAGTATGAATGGAGGGCTTGCTGGTTTCTGTGGGAGCAAGCCCTCCATTCATTTAATAGTTCTCCTATTAAAATGTTAGTTTTGCTGTTTTCAGTGAACATTCTTACGTACCAAGATATTTTCAGTTGAATGTTTTCATATTGTGTTACAAAAGGGAAAAAGTTTTCTGTAATTATATAGAATAACTAAATGAAATATAGCTAAGAGATATATTTTCACTTTTTTTTCTTTAGAATGAAACCATTTTAATGCTGGCAAATAATAAAGTTTAGAGAGATTTATCAAGTTACGATTGCTGTGTTCCTCTCAGAATACTAATGTAAACTAAACCAATCTCCAATTCCTATAGACAGCCTTTGTTGTCAAATAACAAAAATAATTTAGTTTAATTATACCTAAGCCTTTAAGTTTCATTATTATTGTTATTAGTTTCATTAGTACTATGTTAACAATAGTTAAGTATGCCAGGGCTATTATTATTCCATTTGAAATAATCTCTACAATCTGAATTCATAATTTAAGAAAAAAGCCAGAAAACAGAGAGCTCAATTTTATGGCAAACTGAAACATTTAAGATAGGTCAACATGGAGTTTGAACTGTACCTTTAAACTGGTGATATACTGTAGCATTGGTGGTATAGCACACAAAAATACACAAGCTAAGCAGTTTTGTTTCCTAGTAGGCACCTTCTCCATTTTGTGGCTAAGATCATGTGCAATGGAAGTGGGAGGTTGTGTCAATGGTAAATTGGCTTCAGTAGAGGATGTATCATCAGAGGTCTTGACTGCAGGATAAACTATCAGAGTCAGTAATGTGAAACATTTAGATGATGAAAGGGAAATGGATAATATATTGAATGAATATTTCACTCAAGCTTTTACCAAGAAAGAGACAACATACTTCATGCTGAGGATTCTATATCAAATACAATTAGGTTACAAGAGGCAGAAGGGTTACTAAGAGCACTTACAATTGCAGGACCTGCTGTACGTAAGGAAGGGAGAGATGTTATATTCATAGACTGGAAACAAAACTCTTAGCAATCACTTACACCAAAAGGCAGGTGTAATATCCATAGACGGGAAGATTGTAAATGTAGCACCTGTTCATACAAAGGGTGACAGAACTGAATGAATAATAGTAATAATAGTTCAATAAGTTTTACATCTATTACTTGTAAGGATATAGAAATGATATTTTAACTAAAAAATAGAATTATCTATATGGCAGTAGAATTCTAATGGATTCTCAGTTTGGATATGGAAAAGGGTAGCCTTGCTTAACTATCTTGTAATATAGAGTTCTTTAAACAAGAAACAGCAGAAATGGTTACACAGAGCATGTGATGTGGCATATTTACAGTAGATTTTCAAAAGGCTTTTAATGAAGTTCCTCATAAAAGATTAATTCTTAAATTGCAGGCATTGGGCATTCTAGGTAATGCATGTGCCTGGTTTAGGAACTGGTAAATGGATTAAAAAACAGAGTACAGATAAGAGTTGAACACTCAGATTGGTGTGACATAATTAGAGGATTAGCACAGGGATCCGTTTTAAGACCACTACTTTTCAAATTTATATCGGTGACCTGGTTACTGGAATATATAGTAAACCTGTTAAGTTCACAGATGATTTTAAAATATAGGTGGTGCTTGATACTTTATATGTCTGGTTCAGGGAACAAAAAGTCTGTCTGTATAGTGAAAAAAATTATAAAGGGGTGTATAAAGGGAGAACAGAGTAAACTTGGAGGGTTTGGGACCATAACAGCATAAAATTTCAGGTGGGTAGCTGCGTCAGCATGCGTAGGCTGCAAAGGAACAAGTAATAGGTTTATTCCATGCTGAAAAAAAAAAGAAAGAGAACACAATGTTTCGGCCGTGGAGCCTTCTTCAGGTGTGAGAGAGACAGGGCAGTAGGCAAAGGTAAAGTAGCGGGAGAACAAACGTTGGGAGGGGGGAGGAGTGAGAGGTGGGAGCAGGGGACAGAAAGAGAGGCCAATCAAGAGGTGTGAGAAGTCAGAAGTCAGAATGGGTGCAGAGAGGTGTGAAATGAAACTTCCAATGAATGGAGAAAATTAAAAAGAACAGTAGTCTGTCGTTAAGAGAAGGGAGAATGTGTGATCCTAGCTGCAGAATAATTTTGGTTTCGGTGGTCTTTCTGATATATGTTTGGAAAACCGTCTTTGAGAACACAGATGGAGAGATTAGAGTGGCCATCAGAGGTGAAATGAGAAACAATGGGCTTGGAGAGATCTTTAATCTTCACAGCCCTGACGTGTTCTCTGAAGCGGTCTCTGAGTCTCCTTCCTGTTTCTCCAATGTAGATGGCTGGGCATTTACTGCAAGAGATACAGTAAATAAGGTTGCTGGAGGTACAAGATGCTGTCTGGGTGATCCGGAATTGTCCTGAGGGGCCTTGAATGACTGTGGTGGTGGATGTGTACTTGCAGGTGATACAGCGAGCTCTGTTGCAAGGGAAAGTGCCTGGTGTGGATGGTTGTTGAGGGCGGTGGAGGGTGCTGTGAACAAGGAGGTTACGCAGATTAGGTGGTCGGCGATATGAGATGATAGGGCGATCAGAAAAGAGGGCCCCAATGGAGGGATCATCCTGTAGGATGGAAAAGATGTGGTTAATGGTCCTGGGGATAGGAAGTGTGTTAGGGTGGTAAGGAAGCACCAAAGGAATGCGGTTGTTACGGCAGGAGTTCCTGATCGGGTTGATGGTCCGGGGGGTGTTTTTGGCTCGGGCAAGGGCCCTGTCAATCACACTGCTGGGGTATCCTCTGTTGATGAAAAAGGAGCACATTTCGAGGGCTTGGTTCTCGAAGTCAATGTCGTCGCTGCATAATCGTCGTAGCCTAAGGAACTGTGAAAAAGGAAGAGAGTTTTCAGTGTGGTTGGGGTGAAATGAGCTGTACAAATTTGCCCATGCAACTTAAAGCGGGGGGTTTATTCCATGAGAGTTAATGGAATACAGTTGGGTTAGAGACCATAAATTAGACTGAGTGTGGGTTTCATTCTAGGTTATTTTCCTAAATAATCCAACTTATAACGAAATGACTTACAAAGGGGAATACTGTATATCTCAACCTAATTACATTATTCCTTATGGCTATTAATATTCACAACATACAATTCAGACAGGGGTATATACATTTAATGTACCTGTAACCAATGAAAACGATAAAGTGAAATGCAGTCTCCTCAAAACCAACAAAGTCATTCACTCCTTTATATCAATGCCAGGAGCATTGTGAAGAAAGATTTTAAATGTTACTATTTTTTCATTTCTTGAACAAAGTGACCTACAAATGAATGTTGCTGGCTTTTGCTGCCTCAAAAAATGTCATAATTGTGGGGAATTTTTATGTCCAGTTACTCGATTCATCAACAAACAAAGTTTGAAGTGATTTGTAACGGGACCTCCTGTATAAGGATTAGAAGGAAATTCACAAAGACTGAACGCAAGACTCAAGACACTACTAACCAACCTACTGTCCTCAGCAAAGTTCTTTTTTCATCATACAAAGTAGCGTACCCAGTAGCACAATGCAAGAAACCTCATACTATTGGAGTACCAAGGAATAAGCAACAGAGCTCTGTGAATTCTGCTTCCCTTTGCAATGTTCTGCCTCTGTGAAGCTGGGTTTTCAGCACTAGTGGTTATCGAATACAAGTTCAGATCAAAAGTCAATGTTGAGGAGATTTTTGCTACTTAAAAAATACTAACCAGTATTTTCAGTGAATTATGTTAACATAATTTATTAAACAAGCCCACCTACCCATTAAGAGGCACAAAGAAAAAGACATTGTATACTCCCTCTTTTTTAAAAAAACATTTATGTTAGATATTTACATTTTTTTAGTCATTTTATTTGCATTTTACAAAGATGTTGACTATTTTTAATTTTTTCAAATTGTTGGCACATTCAAATAATTTCAATAAAATGTGTTGTCAAGTATTTTTACTATTTTGATCAAGCCTCTTGGTTTTGAAAATGGTTAAAAATAACAACAACTGAATTAACTTTGTTTTTATTTTGACCCATAATTTCCTTTTCAAATTTATAATGTTTTGAAAAATATAGCACTGCCATAGAACATATTTTTGACACAGGGGAGGCATGTGGAAAATTTGACAGGTAATGGGAGGAATGGACCCAAAAAGTTCGGAAACCGCTGCCAATTTGATTCACCAGTTAGAGTGGGTCCATTGTACTGTGAGGGAACCTGTGCCAAAAAGAGAACTGAAGAAGCAGAAGGTTGACAGTGACTGCAGAGTGTGCATATAAAATTGCTAAACAAAGCAAGCTGCTCTCTGAAGGGGATCTTTTGAG